AACGCGTGTGTCGGTCAAATGCGTGCATTTTTATGTGATAACATACTATTGAACCAACGCGTAATTTTTTCAGCGGACACGATACTTTTCCGAATAAGAGCGACCGCCGATTTCATCGATCCAGCCGCTTTCTTTCTTCGATGTAATTCCGCAACCTTGAACAAGCGGGGGAATAATTTTGCGCTTTGCGGAGGAAGAGCGCCGCGTTAGCGCCGTGCGTGTAATTCCGTCCCGGGGGATCCGAATGAATTAGTATAAATTCGAATAAATGGAAAATAGATTCGCACGAAGATTGAAATAAATTGAAGAAGAGATAATTGCCGCGTCTCGCTCGTACCGGCGCCGTGATCCTCCTGCCGTCGGGGCAGCTCGTGATAAAGCTCTCGTGTTCGGCCGCAAGACTTCGCGGGAGCTGCTAGTACTCGCGCAGAAGTTGACCTCGCTGCTTGACAAACGTAATTAATTTTTGCGCCCGTCTCTCGTTATTTCGTTACCGCGAGTTCGTTTGTTGCCTCGGACACGCCGATCCATGCCAAGCACGTCCCACTCGTCCGAGCGCGATGGGCCACCGCTATTTTCACCGGCCGGGTCTTTCGCCATGATTATCGATCGGCTACCTAGGTCAACGAATGTAGCAGCGAGGTATCGCCGGCGCCGGGAAGACTCCGCTGCAACACGTGCGTACGGCAGGCATGTGCTCTGTAAAGCTCCATTCACACGTATCGTTGACCTGTCCAACCCGGTGTGTAGCCACGTTGTCGCGATATTTCCGCTCCGCTGATATTGTCGGCCCGCGAGTTGGTTCGACGGAAGTGCGCCGGACTGCCGCGCGATGTTGATTGTATCTCGGCGAGAGCTGATGAAAAGATTATTATCCGACGGGGACATTGTCGAAGGATATATCTTGCGCTGAAATTCGACGAACGGGGGGACACACGGCGTTGGTACGTGCGTGGGGAAGCGCTCGGGGTATATCGCGCGATATCGGATATCTTGCGAAAGAGCGACGTCAAAATTGGTAACTTCACTCGTGCGGGTCGGTCGTGAACGGCCGGCCGGTAAACGGCGATTACGTTTCTATTATATATCGAGGTCAGATCTCAAAAGCCCGGCGTAGACGATTTGCAATCCTCTGTACCAGCCGTTGCGCGGTAATCTATTGTGCGAGGCTAAATAATGGTAAGCAGAGTTAGCGTTGCATCGCAGGAGGATATCAACATATCTCCCGCTCTGTTATAGTTGCAGACGACTTCGAAATAGTTGGCCTAATTGGGATCGAGATATATTCAATGGTCCGGATTTACGATGTACATTACGCACTGTCGGCGAAGTTGAAGCATTTCATGTGAAATGTATCGGGTGTGGGGGGAAAAGATGACGACTTGCTAAAACTTGAGTCATCTTATCCCCTTTCCCTTTACAGGCTTATCGCGTCCCGATGGCAGCGCGTTTTACCTTCGCTTCGGTTTAGTTATCGCTGAATTTTTCAGTTTCGCTTTCCTCGAGTACCACGCAAGGAGAGGAAAGCAGCAAGGCTCGACAGACGGCGAACGAGGAAACGATCCCGCGTCGTGTCTCGAAAGGGGGATCCATCCCGTTTCAATTATACTCCCGGGATACTGCGAGAGGAATCGACGTATTGATGTACGCGGTACACCGCGACACCGGCGAGACGCCGCGGTATCGATCCGAAACCCCCCGTGCGCGCACTCATCGTTACATATTGAATAACATCCTTCGAGCCTGTCGTAATAATTAACTCACGGCTCGTTGAGCTTGCAATTCGCCTCGGTGGATAAACCTCGAGTTTTCCGCTCGGACGGCCGGTATACGCTTGCGCACTCGGCGCGCGTACTGTTTTAATTTCGAAACGCACTCTCCGGGGTAGGATTCCGTCAACAGCGATTACGCGGAAATCCTCGACGTGTGTAAATTTCCAACCGCGAAAATACCCTGCGATTTCGATCGATTTATTTAACAAAGCTTTTATCGTGATTACTCGAGAAATTACAATTACCGATAAACTAATTTCTCGTCGAAGCATCACTAATCGTAAAGCATAGTTGTCAACGCTGTCACGTTTCATTGAATTCATAATAATTCCTCGGAACAGGCATTATTGTGTTTATCGCTGGGAGAAAGGGATCAAATCGGTTTCGTTGCACCAGACTTTTTCATTCCTCCGTTTTTTCCAACAATCGATATTTTTCTACATTCCTCAGCGTAATTACGAATATCGCTGACACGCAGAGGCCGTTTTGGGCAATCTCGACATTCCTTCAACATGCGGGGGGGTGTTTCATAAT